TGGCATGTTGTGTTTCTGAACTGGGCTCCATGCGGCAGAACTAGAAGATTGGGCAGATGCTTTCCCATTGGTGGCAGGCTGGCCCCATGGCAGCCATTCCTGCCCAGCAGTTACTGTTTGCTGTCCAAAGTCAGCAACCAGACCAGTTTGGATACCATTAAATCTCAATTAGAAACTCTTCAGATCATGTCCTGTTCGCGGCTTTGGGACAGTGCAAATCCTGCCACCTTCACCAGGAGCCCCTCCAAGGGCCTCTCGCAGCCCTGGGATGCCAGCCAGCTTTGGAGGCTTTACATTTTCATGGCATGAGACAAATTTCACTAAGAGTTCCTCAATATTAATCCACATAATGCTGCTCAGCAGATGGGAGCCCAAGAAAACAGCCTGTCGACACCTTCAGCTCTGCACAGAGCCCCTCAAAGCAGCACAAAGGAGTGGGGAGCCGAGAAGATACCTCTTGCTTTCCTGGCTATAACAACAGCATGTCTTGTGATAGTTCACTGCTTCTTTGCTACCTGAAGAGCACAGTAAGTCAGCAGATAGTTCAGTATTTACTGTGCAGATGCAGGTGCTCATGGATAAGACCACACATTAAGAAAGATCTTGATTCTGAAAGTATGACTATGATGCTTCAGTACCAAATTCAGAGCAATATCTTGAAGTAATAAACAGAGGATCTTTCAAGACATACTAGCAGGATTATTCTAGGTCTTTAAAAATATATAAATATTTATTTACTTATAGAAACAAACAGAAATATGGCCTTGTGTATCCCCTGTTAGATGGCCTACAGTAAGGGCACAAAGTTTGAGTACATTAGTATATGGCATTAGTAAGTGCCCCAATAGAGGGATAACTCCTAAGAAAAGAAAATACATGATGCAAAAGGGGTTAAAGGATTTAGCATAACTGAAGGACTGAGATCCACAATTAATTTGCTTTGCTTGGGTTGGTTCTCACTGCTGCACAATGAGCAAAAGCCAATAATCTCCAAATCAGGGTCCTTGGGGTCAGTAGCACCACGATGAGCACAGGGGGATCAGCATCCTTCATCCTGGGCGGCGTGGTCTCCTCCAAACTCCCCATGCAGGACAGGGAAAGAAAGGTCGAAGCAAAATTTTAGCATCAGCAGCTTCAGCATTTTCCCCAAGCAGAGGAAGATGCAAATCCAAAGATTCAGCTGTAAATATTTTAAAAGTGGCAAATGGAGTTTTGGCAGCCAAGATAAGAATCTCTAAAAGCACTTGCATTTGCTGCCTCCAACCCTTGCAAATCCTGCCTGCTGAAGTGGTCAGGGAGGTTGACCACAAACTGAAAGGTGAAACTAGTTTTAGCCCCGATTCCAAAAAAGCTGGAAGTAGTTTTAGAAACAGGAAACCATCAAGCAAGAGACGGCACCTGTAGATTAAAACCTCTTCCTTTGTCAGGCTTTGACACATTTGACTCACAAACCCATAAAGTCAAGCTCCCTTAAAAAAGCTTCATTGTCAAATTTATTTTATAGCTTTAAGGTTATTTTTTTTTCCTTTAAACCAATAAATGCTTGCAATTCCTTTTTTTGCTGCCAGCTGGGGAGAGAGTTAAAAACTTTCTGCAAACCTGCAATTTCAGTGCTTGTCTGTGCTGGGCACTAAAAAATTCCACTGGAGTGAGAGCAAAAGGGGTTAGTCATGACAAGAACATCCCTGCAATGTGCCAGGGCGGCTTTTCACTGTCATTCAACCATCCTTAATACCGACTTAGCCCATCAATGATTTTCATAATCAGTTATGTGCTTTTGAAACACACACCCACATACATAACCCTCACCAGCAGCCAAATTGAAGCATTTTGTATTTTTTTTATTATTATTATTATTAATAACACGCATCTGCCCACAGACCCACCCCCTAAGGGACATTTTGATTCAACAATCTACACCCTCACTGAGAGAAAGCCCTTTCTCTTTTCCAGCAAATATTTTAAATGCTGATGGGGTTTATCCCTCAATTAGCACCCAAGGATGCATCTGACAGCCCCCTACCCAGATGCTCACGCTGACCAAGGGGAAAGACCTGAAACTGCTTACTCTCCAAAGCCTCCCCACAACTGGGCAGAATGAGACCTGTTCTGAACAAAACCTGAGATGGTTTTTTTTTTCCCCCTGTAAAAAACAGCTGTAGATTTGCAACCAAAACATCGTTCTTGGCCAAGCTCTAAGTCTCGGGCCATCCCCAGGTCAGCCAGGTGCCTGCAAGACTTTGTGTGACCAGCGACTCACGCTGCAAGGAGCAAGTCTGAACACCAGACTCAGGTTACATCTACCACGCCTTTCCTCTCGCACAGACCCGCACAATTCAGAGGGCAAGCACCCTGGGGCTGCTCTGGGTTATCCAGGTCACAGCCGGGCCAGGCCAGAAGCACCAAAGGGACTGCGGCACTGGAGCAAAGCAACTGACACTCCCATTCACTTAGTTACTTTCAAAAGATAAAGCTCATTCCATCGCAATGTGCTGCTGACAAAGGACCTTTTCACATCTTACAGGAACAAATGGAGAACTGGTTTGCAATGTCTTTATCAAACAGCTGGCCACAGGAAAAAAAAAAAACAAAACCAACTTTAATATCAATGGTGTTTGCTTTAATTGTAGATAAAAAGCTCAAACTGCCAATGATCCTTTTTTCTTAGGTGCTTTAGAAGTTAGGAGTTAGTAAAACACCAGGAATTTCGGTGATGGGAAAGCTGTGTTCTGTATTCATGAGAGAGAAAAACGGTCTAGTCATCTTTCCTTTCCTGTTCAACCCACAAAGTAGGGCTTGGTTAAGAAAACTCTTATCTCGGAATGAAGAGCTGGTTTCAGGTGATGCCTCTGCAGCAGAGCAAAAAGCCCATGAAAGCAAGTGCAGGGGTCTGACACTGCTGGGCTGAGCCTCCAGGCAGTCCTGCTGCGGAAGGCTCTACCTTGGCACATGTGACTGTGCTGCACAGGGCTTGACCATGCACCATCCCCACCAACCTGGCATGATGCTGCTGTTCATCAAATCCCCAGGGTCAGCTGCAGCCTCTCACAGGCACAGCACGCCTTTATGAGATTTTTCTTCGATCTTGATCCCCAATCTTTGTCTACCATCTCCCTCTGGCCTATGAGTCGCAGTCAAATTCAAGAGTGAGGCAACTGATTTTGCTTCCCCCCAAACATGCTGAACTCACCAGTCCCACCCCCCCTCCCCCATTTCCTTCCTTTGATGAAAACTGTGCTTACGAAGCAAGAAAATGAAACTTTTAATGGCTCACAAATGCTGAGGGGAAAGCAGAATAAATTCACAAAGCATTTTCAGCCCTTTCCCTTCAGCACCTCCTCTTTGTATAGTAAAAATAAGTAAGTTAGGTACAAAGAGCTGATTTTCTGTTCACCCCATAGAAGGAGCGATCTGTTCACCAGCACGCATAAGCATTTGACCAAACCAGCACAAGAGCCAAAAAGGATGATTTTCACAGCAAACTGATACCCACAAACACAGCTGGCCAAGAGTCCAGGAGGAGGAATAAGGAGCAGATCCATGTCTCTCCTCACATACAGGGCTAAGGTTGGGTATTAAAATCTTTAGGAGAAGCTGACACCACTGCTTCACACGAACCTACATCTCAAATTGGGTCTGACCCAACAAGGAAAAGCCACCTTTGCAACATGGCACCGAGGACTTCGGAAGGTCTTACCTTTAGCAGATGCTAGTAAGTAAAAAAAAAAAAAAAAAAAAAAAAAAAAAATGATTGAACTCTTAAAGATCAAGAAAGCAAACTGGCTAGTCAATGAGAAAACCATCTACATACCCGCTGGACAGGAGTGCTGCTACTCTGGAAAAGCTCTGGGAGAAGAAAAAATATCTTCCAGCTCGGTAAAGGAATGGCTTCATCTCCAAAAGATGACTGGGGAGGTATTCCAGTGAGTGACCAGTACACTATAATCCTCAGGACAGAGAGGCTTCCTTCCCAAATGGCACATGGTGACCCAGGAAAAAAACAGGGTAAAAAGATGGTAGGAACTGGAAGATGCTTTTATCCACAGCCAGCATTCTCCAGAGGGCTTCATGGGTCTGTATGTCCATGTATCCCATGATCCCAAAAATCCTTGGAAGCTACCAAAAGGATCTCACTGCCAGGCTGCTCCAAACGTTCCTCCAGGCCAGTGGGGTTGGGACCTTCAGAGAGAGGAAAGGGACAGGACATTACATGACAGCTCTTACTACACTGGAAGAGGCTTATTCATGTGCAAACTCGTATCTTTTGATTTATTTTTGCTCAGAAGGAAGCTTTTATGGCTGTTTTTGTTTTTGCTTTAACTTGTGTAATTTATTTAAAGGAATGCCACAGTGAGCACAGACAAAACATGGGGCCACCACCTCCAGATGCCTCACAGGTGCCAGGTGATGTGAGAGGAGGACAACAAACCAGTAACTGGAAAAAGTTCTCACCTAACCAATTGATCCTTCCAAAATTGTCTTCTTTTTTGTCAGATGAAGGCAGACAGTTTTCTTCCCCTATCTTTTTTTTTACCTCTTCTAAAGCTAATGAGGTATTTTCTCTACCAGCAAGAGATGATGGAGAGGGTTGTAAGGCAGCAGATCCACGGGACCACCAGCCCTCTTGAATTCAGAGGAAAATGTCTATCTCCCATCAGGAGAATCACACCATCAGGAATTTGCATCAAAGTCTGGCCCAATCTACCAGTGGGATCCTATCCCTGACAGAGCAGAAACGCTCAGCTATTGTGTACAACAACCCACTGTGACCTCCAGCCAGGCAGAGCCACGCTTCCCACCTCTACCTTCAGAGAAAGTAAACACATCCCAGCAAAGTTGCTCAAAACAACCAGGGGATTAGTCATAACTAGTACTTGATGTATCTAAATGCATCATAATCTGGAGGGGTTTCGTAGTTTGTTTTTTCGGTTCTTTTAATCTGATTTTACTAATTGTGCTGGGAATAGAGTTGCTGGGATTTTTGTTTGCTATTTTAAAATATGAAAAAACTGTCTCATAAACACAGGCAAGTGCCAAGCCCGGAAATTATGCCCAGCAAGCACTGAAAGGAAACTCAAATAACTCTTTGCCCGACATTGCTTTCTAGTTCATCTGTAAAAAAATACAGCAGAGAGCAGCTGAGAGCCAAAAGGTGGGTTTTTTTCACTTTGTTTTAGCTGCACCAGCACAGGAAGGTGATAACATTGTGTAATGTAACCAAGCAAAGGAGTAATGAAAGTGCAAGCAAATAGATCAAATAGCACAGGGTTAAGGAAAAGGTGTGATAATCATTTGTTTTGCTAATTGTGTCAATAAAGTCCTATCTATCCTCAAACAGCGGAAACGTCATCAGATATTTAAAAGGAAAAAAGTCAAGTGAATAATTCAATCTACAAAAACGCATCATTTTTTTCCCCAGATGTTCTCTTTAAAGGGTTGATTAGGAGAATCGTGTTTATTTTAAATAAAATTCCACTGACTTTGATCATGTTTAAATCACCTAAAGTACAAAACCTACTTTGCATCAAAAATTCCTCCTCCCTTGAGAAAACAATCAAAATTGCCTTCTCTGCAGGAAAGATGCAGCCCTGCCACAGCCCAAGCTAACCTGGTTTGTGGTGCCACCAATGGGGCAACACCATGACCCATGAAAATCTCATGTCTTTGCAATGTGCTTTTGTTGTTACAAAACCCAGCATGCAAATCAGTACAGGGCAACTGGAAGTCTGCAAATTCACAGAAAAAGAAATCTGAATTTTCTTGTTCTTGCTTCTAACGTTTTTCCAGTGATGGGGAAAGCTGGGAAATGAAATATACCCTAACTTCCCCCCAGGTAAACGAGCTGAAGCTGGAGAAGGTCTGACCCAAAACCCTGAGCTGATGAAAACATTTTGGAAAAGGATTTGAATCTCCCAAAATAGCTCCCATCCCACTAATTACACAGCCCACCTCAGCCACTCTGATAACTATATGACATTCAAAATGCCTGTAAAACCTATTTCTCTACGACAAGAACATGACCCTCAAATTCTTGAGCTCTTTTCCCCATAAACCAGTTACCTGTAAAATATGACCACGCAAACAGAGATGAATCCCTGTCACCAGAGAAATGAGTCTTGCCCCACTGATCCAGCCCCTTGTCATGCTGTGCCCAAAGCAGCAGCAGGGCTTTTTGTCCCAGCTCCACCACAACTGTGTCAACATGTACTTTGCTCACTTCTCCTGGGAGACAAGCCCAGCAGTCCTCACTGTCCAAGAGGCAAAAACATCGTTTCTTTGGTTTCTTTCTTTTATATCTCCCCCCAATCTCGCATACATGGCACCACTCACATCACTCCCATCATCTGCCTTCGAGCCCAGCTGGACAGCAGTAGGAGTCAAGGGCTACGGAAGAGCTCAGTGACCAGCATCTTGCATGTTATGCTTTTACAGTCATATTTTTACAGTCAGGCTTTTCTAGTCAGATAGTAACAGATAAACCAATGGCAGACGACTAACATTCATTTTGAGCATCTTCCTTCATGGTGTGGAGGATCCTCAGCACCTTCCACCCCTGGATGTAAGATACTATCTTACTGCTTCCCAGTTCAAAGTGTAAATGAAATTCAAATTCTTGTGCCCAGCACATGCCTGAAAAGACAAGCTTCCAGTTCTCTGAGCTCTACTTTTAAAATGCACCAAATCATTAAGACTAAGCACATTGCCTTCTAGGAAGATTCTGACTCCATCTCCAGCTCACTCCACTCCAGGTTCTCAGCAGCCTTCTGTTTCCCCTTCAGACTGTAGGATCTTCCTTGCAGACAGTCCATAAGTATTGCCTAACACCAACAGTTTAGGTTTTGCCCTAAATAACTTACTTAAGGTCATGCAGTACGTTGGCAGCAAAGCCACGAAGAAGATCCAGATTTTGCAAGTCATGGGCCAGCACTTGGAAAACACATCCATCTTCCCCATCCCTGGCCAAGAAATTACTCCATTACTAGTACACAACAAGGGTTGAATCATTTGCACAAAGAAACACCACGAGCTGAGCACGTGTCCAGCTCAGAGCAAACAAGACATCACCCTCAACTCGGAGAGCAGCAACCTGAGCCCATGGCTCCTCTCCAAGGGCAGCAAGAACCTGTCAACATGAACTGTAGGAAACCAGCAACAAGAAAAGTGTGCCCTGTAACAGAAGAGACCCCAAATACTTAATAGAAGTGTGAAAAGAGTTAAAAGACTTGCTCCTAATTAGTTAAAAAATATGGGAGGAAGAGAGAAGAATACAGAGTCCCATGTGTTAAAATTTTGATCGTGAAAGAGTCCCAAGTGCAATGGCTCATTTAAAAAAAAAAAAAAAAAAAGGATGTTTTCTGTGCCTGTGTTTTCTTATTTTAAAGAAAGGGCTGTTTTTTCACTTCATCATGTTCATTACAACCCAGACATGTGAATTAAGTGCAATAAGGGACCTGTTAAACCTCATAATCATTGTAGTAAGCTCCAGCAGTGACTTTATTATGGGCAAGAATGAAACCAGGAGCATTCACTTCTGCTGCTCCTGCCACCAGGCACTGTGGCCAGCATGTCCTCAGTTCGCCAACATCAACATCTCCTCCCAAGCACAAGGTGAGCATCCCAAAATGTCTTGGCTACATCCCCATTCAGAGGAACATCTCTAGGTGCAGAGACTGCTTATCAAAGTCAGTGGTACCCAGCAGAGGAAAAAAATAAATAAAAAAGGGAAACAATTCAACTTTTCTGATTGTTTTTCTTACAGTTGCAGCTGTATTTGCTGAAAGGCAAAACTTTGCTACAGTGGGTATCTCAGCTACCACAGTGGAATAGATTTCTCTTGGTTTAGTGAGTCAAAGCAGGCTCAGCATCAGGGCTGGTGGAAGGAAGAGGGCAGGACCAAGCCCACACTGTCTCCTGAATAACATCCAGATGGTGAATCAGCTCAAGCCACCTCCAAAACCTCTCCCTGTTCTTAGGCATGAAATTTTAAAAGAGCTATAGACTGAACCTGACATGGCAGTTGAGAGTGGCAAAATCAGGGGGTTTCGGGTCAACAGGATCTGTGTTTCGTACCAGCGAGGAAACATAAACTTGTTTACATCATGGAATTATGGAAGGACATGGGTTAACAGGCTCTTCCACTATGTGCCTATAATGTTTACATCCTTATAACAGAGAAATAAACAAACCCCTAAACTGATATTATTTCTACTCCCACACAAATGAAAAAAAAAAAAAGTAAAGGCTGCTGCTCCTTTTTGTTCTCACTCAGCAACACCAAGTTCTTGAAGTAACCTGGCTGCTTTTGAGGGCTTCACAAGCTTGGCCAACATCCCAGGCAGTCTCTAGAGCTAGGGCGTTTGTTCCCAAATCAGAAAAAAGCAGCTAAGGCCAGGACATTATTAATGAGGGGAGGGCACTTCACAGATGCTCCACCAGCCTATTACCAGGCAAAGACACATGAATGTTTTAGGAAAACAAGATGAAGGGCCAGAACAATTTACCTTGCCTCACCCTACCATTTTTCATCCTAAAAATCAATTCCTTCCTGGGAACTCCAACCAAAAGGAAAGGCTGGAAAAAGACAAGCACAGAAGGACCGCCTGGTAGATTGAGAACTCCAACCTACATTCCTCCTGAAAAACACATTGTTTGGTAATGCATAAAGTGCAATCTAAAAAATGCTCCCAAGCACTCTTGTAATAGTTTCCCAAATAAAGTGTACATTTTAAAATGTAAGTCTAGCTATTCTATTGAAGGTGTCATTACAGTAATTCGTCACCCTCACATTCATCCAGGACTCTTCACCCACACTCATGTGGGTCTGCCAACCACCCTGAACCAACACCCAAGTGACCAAGGGGGTGTATATTTACAGTTCAAGTTCTCACACAAAATGCAGGTCGTGACCATGCTACTTCGACTGCACAAAATTACTCCAAATGAGGATCACAAGCTGGGATGCTAAAATTTGAAGGGTTGCTGAGATGCCTTACAATTAAGCCCATTCTTTTAAATCTTTTTGAATACAAAAAGCAAAATCTTAAGCAGATGTTACACAGTCTGACATTTTAAGCACCTAATGTCACCTTGGAACATTTTCAAAGTAAAATCTAATAACCTTATTCTCCACCTGCACCAGCTGACACAGATATACTCAGAGAAAAAAACCTAAAAACA